TGGTTAGTTCTCAGCTGCCTTACTTAATTTGCAACTGAGTGGGGATCTTTACATTCCTTATCTAACAGCTTTCTCTTTCCCCATTAGTTACATCTTTAAATTTATGGCCCAGTCTTCTGAATGGGCATCCCTACATTAAAGTTAAACAGCTGCCCTTCTAATGTGTCCATAAATTAAACCACTCTCCATTTCTCCCATCTCCGCCTCCCTTTACCACCTGAAGGAAACCAGGACTAGCATTAACAGTATTAATATTATTCGTGGTCCTGGGGTGTTTGTTTTCCTAATGGAATTGGTTATATTTCTTTGGTTGTCCTTATCTCTGAAGCCTCCCTAAATTTTTCAGAGGTCCCCTCCTGCACTGTCCCTAAAACTGCCTAATAACCCTAACTTGCCCTGTCTCACCTCCATTCCCGCACCTGGTCCCGGGGTGCAAACTGCCCTCCCTTCCCCATCATCACACCCAGTGACTCCCCAGGACAGAGACCCAGACCCAGGTCCCCATGAAGAACAGGCCAGCACCTGCTTGTGATCCTGCCCCCCTCAGTGTGAGCAGGTGTCCCTGAGAAGCATCAGGACACACAACACTGTCCCCAAGGAGTTAGGGTCCCCCATAGGTCCCTGTCCTGCTCTGTCTGCTTGTTCAGCTCACCTGAAGGTCAGTCCCCAGCCCTGACCTGCCAGGGACAAGGACAAGGTCCTGCCCCAAACACAGCAGGAGCCAGGTCAGATCCCCACTGAGGGCTTCCTCCTTCTCCTCTCTGACTCTGTGGGGGATTCCAGCCTCTGGGTGAGGAACCCTGTGGGACAAAGCAGCAGAGAAGCAGAAATGAGTCTTAGTCAGAGAAAACACCCCCAGTCTATTAACCGGCAGCAGGAGGGGCACCCCGACCAAAATCTGCATACAGTAAATGGCTTTTGCCCCCGGCCACATAAAGGCAGATCACACTCTGAATGTGAAAGAACACAGTAGAGTCACAAAGGGGAAGAGAATTCCCCAACAAAAACACCCAGTTTCCCGTCCCCTGGTGGGTAAATACCCAACCAAAATACCCAACCAAATTTGGGGAAATTTGTCATAAATCTCAGACACCTTCTTGTGGGGACCCACAGAAACCGATGAAAGGGGCCGGGCCAATCTGGGGCAAAAGGAGCAAAATAAAAACACAACCATGGTCAAGGCCGGGTCTCTCCCAAGTGTCTCCTTCCACATCCCTCAAGTCGCTGGGGGCAAGCCCAGCGCTGAGAAGCAAGGGAGGCTTCTCCACACACCCCTCTCCTGTGTCGTCTCCATGTCTCTCCAGGTGCTCTCTCCTCCACAAGCCTGTGTCTTATGGTGGATGCTCCTAAAGGGCCCTGACATAGGTGGTCTCTGTTCAGAGAGGCCGTGTGGCCCCACATCTTACTCAGAGAAAAGGCAAAACCCTTCCAACATCCTCAACGTCTGCATGATGTGGGTGCATATAACTGCACTTGTCTTTTGGTTGTGGACTGGGTGACACGGATGTGGGTGAGACCCGTGGGGAGGTGACAATGGCAGCTTTTATCTTGATGTTGATTTTGCTCTTTTCCTTCTGGGCTTGTCTGGTAGTTTCTGACCCTTTTCTGTGGGTCCCCACTGGAAGATGCTTTAGACTTGGGGCAGGCTTTGGGGCCTTGCGCTGGGCCAATCCCATTTAGATGGACTTTTACCCACGAGGGGACGGGTAACTTTGGGTGCTTCATTTAGAAACTAGACTCTTTGCCTTACCTGTATTGTTTCCTAGTTTTATTAAAGTTCCTTCCCATTAAAGTCTCATATGTTTTGTGTTGATACGGCAGATGACAGAACCCATTTAGAATAGGCAATAGGCAGGTTTGCGGGGTTTGGGCTGCCCCTCTCCCTGTCCTGTAACACACAGACCCCGTCTCAGTGACCCCTGCCCCAGCCGCAGCCTCTAACACACAGACATCCCCGTCCTGGGGCATCTGGGCTGAGGTCGCCCTGCCTGGACTGAGCTTCTGCAGACACCTTGTGGGCATAGTGTCCATCAGGTCTTCTCTCAAAGGTGCCGTCCTGGTGATGCCCACCTGTCTATGCTAGGAGAGTAGCCCTCTTCCTTGTCCCCACACACCTTATCTGGGTCACCTTCCCCGCATTCTTACCCACACCAGGATGCATCTGAAAATTCATCCCTAACAACTGACTCCTGTGGGCAGGGCTGCCCTGGGCCTTGTGGGGACAATGGCGGATGCCTAAGCCTGATTCCTGAACATGAAAATGAAACAGTGTGCTCCAAAATATACCAAAGAAGTAAAAAATTGAACAGATTGAGACCTGAGGGCCCAGCGCTGGTCTGAGCATGGTCTGATCCTGTGACAGGCAGCCTCCACCCACATCCTGGAGACAGGAAGGCCCAGGTGGGGTCTGAGTCCCTGTGATCACAGGCCCTGCTGGGACAGGTGCTCCTGAAGGACAGGGACAAAGGAGCCGAGGGATGACCCCTGAGGAGTCACCACGTCAAAGCCCATGATGCATTGAGCACCGACTGAACGCAGGCTCCTGTTCCCCTTGGCTCCTCACAGCCTCTCCTGCCCCCACCTGCACAGACTCAGCACTGCAAATGTACGTGCTTCAGGCTGGTCCTCATGGCTCTTCCTTATATCCTGTCAAATTTTAAGAATCTTTTCAATTAACCCATCAAAAAAACAATGCAGAAAAAAAGAACAGTTTCATGTCTGGATGTCTATTTTCTCTAGGGAAGTGGACGTTATTCCTCAGGAAAACACAAAGCACAGGCAGGGGTGGAGTCAGCCCCGCCTCTGCTGGAGCAGGAAAGTCACCAGGGAGAGACACAGGTCAGTGTGGGGAGGGGCCTGGTGGGCAGAGCTGGGCTGGTCTCCCTACCTCCTCACGATATGCTGATGGGAACAGACACATGAGGACGTCCTTTGCAGCAAGAGAAACAAGAGGATATTTATTGAGGAGCAATGGTTACATCACTTCTTATACTTTAGAAGGACAGGGTCACCCCCTCAGGTGTTGATACTGTAGCACACCCACACCTAAGCACCACGGTCTTCCAGCAGAGTCCACTGTGCTCCCTCCCGGCTTTGTCCACACCCTTCCCACTGCCCCTCTGCCAGCCCCTGCTCTACATTCATATTTCAAGGGTTAGTTTGTGTGTACATATGTTTTTAAGTCATAATCAACTTTTATCGGTTTCACATAAATAGCTAATAGTTTGAAACCATGTTTTCCAATATATTTATGTTAAAACATATGAACGTATTTATTAGACTTTTTGGCAGAGGAGGCAGGGAAAAAGTAAGGGGAAGATGACAATGTCAAAGCTAATCTTCACTGACAGGGTAAATACTTGGTCATCATTTCCCTTTATAGAAAGTTACAGATTTATAACCTCAAAACATCAAAATTGCAGTGCCGCAGTTTACTTTAAAAAACAACAGTGAAATATACAACTTGGGCATCACATTTCTCTTTCTACATGTGTTTGCATTCACATAATTTTATACTTATTACATAATGGTTTTTAAAAATAAACATTGAAATATTAAACTAAATAATCCCACATCTGAGAAGTCATAGTAGTATCAGTAGTATCAGTAGTATCAGTATTTTTTTAAATTCCAGTTTGTTTATTCATCAGTAAAATGTAACATTTGGCAATGCCCCCAGAGAATAGGGGGGCATATGAAATATGAAAAGGTCATTTGCATAGTCATTACTAGATGCTATCAGACCTGCTGTAACATTGGGGCTCCCCCTTGAATAAAGTACTACAAGTGGTCATCCCAGACCAGCATGGAAGATGGAGCTCACTCCTGACATCAGGCACCACCTATCACTGTATTCCTTGTCATGGCGCTGAGCCTTGGTGCTATTAGCACAAAGAGTTTTCTTAATGACTGTGGTGGGTTAAGGCAACAGGACATAACCTGGTCCCCTCAATCATTTACTTTCTCTCCACCTTTTTAAAAATTATTGATGAGACCATATAAGTTACAGATTCAATGGCTGGAATTCACTGGATGGAAGTTACCTCTTAGGTCATCCCTGGTGTTTATGCAGGAGTTGGTTTCTCTTGGTCTCTCGGCATGACCATCCCTCAGCGTGGCCCTCAATACGGAGTTTCAAATGCTACCATTGCTGTGTCTCCTGGATGGATGTAGATTATTTTCCCTCATTAAAAATATTTAATCATTGGGCAATAATCTGCTCAGTCTTTGTAAACTCTCCACTGAATAATTTCTCATTTTTTTTTACAACCATTTCCTACTGGCTGCTGTGCTTTTTTCTGTCACCTTCTTCATATAACAGTGGCTCCTTATCTTCAAAGGAGGAAGAGTTTTTGAATGGGCCTCCAATTTTACCCCACAATGTAAAATACTGTCCACAGTTGTAGTTAGAGAAGAGGTGATGATCTGTATGATGAGCTGAGTCATTAATAAATGGCCTTCATATTTGAGGAGACAGAAATCACTGTCATGAATGGAAATTGTGCAGACACTAACCGAGATGTACAAACTTAAATAAACCAGCTGGTGTAATGGAAAGATGAAAGGGTGGAGATGATAAGGTAGACTCTGAAGAAAGCCTTCCACAGGGTGAAAACCATGACTTGCAGGTGAAGAGGTATCTTCCAGAGAGGTTCATAGATTCGCTTATCTATAAGTCTACGATGAAGGCCTGTGTGAATCCAGTAGATCAGCATGTTGGTGAAAAAGAGGGAGGGCCATACAGGAACAATGAGAAAAATCCAGTGTTTGGAAACTCTGCTGTGTTGTCATGCAATTTGCCCTCAGCTCCAGCAGGAACAGCGGAATGGTGGGAATATTTAATCCATGGTAATGATGTAACAGTAAACATGATTCTCAGAAGACTTGATTCTATAAATATTGTTGGTGGTTCATTAGAGAATGATTACAGACAAAACAACAGCTCATTGTCACAAAGATGAAATAAAGGATAAAATCGCCAAGATTTCTTATAATCAGGAGAATTAGTTTGTTGAAAGATGTCATACTCTGGCCCTGTGGTTGGAGATAGAAATGGTATAAAAAGTAATTATCTGCAGCATCAAGTACAAGATCCATCCTAGCTCTAGCAAATAGGGGAGGCTGGGGATCCAGTGGTGGTGCAGGTGCAACAACACACAACGGGGAACTCAGTCAGTGGGAGTAGGGCTTTGTCATCAAATGAGTCTGATGCCAAACTAGAGAGGGTCAGTCCACCACCCAGTACGGCCGGACCAGGAAGCCTGGGCTGGTGTGCAGCCCTGGTCAGCAATAGGCACAGCCTGGCAGGGCTCAAGTGTTTGCTTTAAGTCTGGCCCTTTCTTTGATTTTCCTATATCCACGTATAAGTGATATATTTGCCTTTCTCCTTTGGGCTTATTTCAGTTAGCATAGTCCTTCATAGCTCCATCCATGTTGCCCCAGATGGCATAAGTTTGTTTCATGATGAGTAGTATTCTGTTATCTATGAACTACCTCTCCCACAGCTTGGCTACTGTAAATAGTACTGCAGTGATCATGGAAGTGCAGGTTCTCTTCAGAGTAGTGTATTGTGCTCTATGGGTAGATACCTTGGAGTAGGACTGCTGGGTCCTATGGCAGATCCACTTTTAAGTTTCTAGAAACCTGGATACTGTTTTACTTCAGGGCCAAACCAGTCTACATTCCCCAAAACAGTGCAGGACCGTTCCCTTTTCTCCGTGTCCTCACCAGCACTTATTATGTCTGGTCTTTTTGATATGGGCCCTTCTCACAGGTATGAAGTGGTTTCTCATTGTGTTTTGAATCAGGGCATCCTTAATGAATCAAGAAGGTGGGGCATACTTCACTCCAGTGAGAATGGCCCCCATTAAAAAAAAAAAAAAAAAAACAGAAACAACAAATGCTGGAGATGATATGGAGATGAATGAACCTTTTGGACTGTTGGTGGGACTGTAAAATGGTCTAGCCACTATAGAAAGCTGTGTGCAGTTTCCTCAGAACACTAAAATGGATCTAAGATATGATCCAGGGATTCCACTCCTAGGTATATACCCAAGAGAGAGAAAACGCTAATTCAATAGGAAATCTGCTCTCCTATGATTACTGCAGCACTATTTACAATAGCCAAGATATGGAAACAATCCAAGTGCTCCAAAATCTACAAATGGATCAAAGGTTGGTATATTTACACAATGGAATACTACTTGGTGATCAAAAAAGACAAATTCATGCCATTGGTGGTAACATGGATGGAGCTGGAAGGGATTAAGTCAGAAGGAAAAAATATAAATATCAGATTTTCTCACTTACATGTGGAATATAGAGAAACCAACAAAAGATCAGAAAAAGTCAAAACCTGCAAGCTGACTGTAGATCTGAGGCATACAGCAAGGGAAGGGGAGGAGGGGGTTCCTAACAGGGGAAGGAGGAACCCAAGGGAAAATGGTGATTGTTCAAGGGTGATATGCTGATGGGATCGATGGGGACTACAACAAAGTAAGAAAAAAAAATTTAAAAAGATGTGGTACATACACACAATGGAACACTACTCAGTGATCAGAAAAGATAAACTCATGCCAGTTGGACAATGTGGATGAACTGGGAAGGACTGTGTTAAGAGAAATAAGTTAGGAAGAAAAAGATAAATATCAGATGGTCTCACTAATATGTGGAATAGAGAGAAACCAACAAAGGGTCAGGACAAAGATGAAATATGCAAGCTGCCAATAGATCTGAGGGATACAAGTAGGAGGGGTTAAAGGTCAAAACGGGAGGGAAGAGCACAAGGGGCTGTGGTGAGGAATCACGAGTGTTATGGTGGTGGGAGAAATATGAGACCATATCTGAGAAGAGTCAATATACAAAAATTAACAATGATGTAAGGAAATAAATAAATAAGTTTACTTTAAAAGTTTTCATATCAATCTCTGACAGCTAGAAAGCAAATAAAATTAAATAAACCAGAGGCTCCTGAAGATACAAAATGGGGCGAGAGAAATCCTTTAACACTCAGTCCCCACAAGGCAGCTATTTCACACTGTGAAGGAAATTGGTCAGGAACAAATTCAGGTGAATCACTAAGTGTCCACATTCTCCATAGTTCACCGCATCCTCATAATGTCCCCCTCACAGCTTCCCCATAACCTGGTCCCATCCTCTCTCCCTCAGCCCCTTCCACCGCAGGCCTCCAGGGTCTCACCTTTAGGGACTGAGAGACACATCAGGGCCCTGGGCACTGTCACTGCCTGGGGGAGAACAAAACAGAACCTGGTCACATCACAGAGAAATGAGACCACAGGAAGGACTGATGGGGGTGACTACCCCATGGGCTCCATCTACATTGTCCCCAGGGGCTCAGGGATCAAATCCCTGTTCCACACTTACCGGCAGACTAAGTCTCACTTCTTCCTTATCCTCCTGTGGGAAGAAGCATCATATGAGACCAGGGAGGAGTCAGGCTATGAAGTTGTAAAGGAATCCCCAAGTCTTGACCACAAGGAAGTTTCCAGAATGTGACTAATGAATCAGAGCAGTACCAGGAAATATGAAGAAAGGACTCAATGGGGGACTGGATCAACTGCCTCCTGGAGTCTGTCCTCAGCAAGGACCTTCCCCACTAACATTTGCTTGGAGTCAGGGCCCCATTACCAGGATTATCATGATGAACAACTTGTGTTTCATTTTCACAAGTGCTTTATAAAAGAGTGAGGAGTAGCAATCAACTCCAGATGGGACAACACAGGGGTAGATAGTACTTCCTATTCACCAGCTATGGTAAATCCTACATGGAATTTGAAAGCCCCCAGTGGACATGATCCCCCCACTCCCTTCCCTACCTAAGCGCGGCTTCCTCCACTTCACAGCTGCAGACACCACAGCTCCAGTGAGCACAGCTCCAAGGAGAACCAGGCCAGCCATGATGCCCACGGTGGGGATGGAGAACTGAAGAGAGGGCACTGGAAGGGAAGGGAAGGTCAGACCCTGAGCACCAGGCCTCATCCTGACCTTCTGAAGGTCTCCAGAAGGGTTCCTGATTTCCCCTGTGCCTAATTCCCGCTCCTTACACCAAGACAGGACTTGGGGCTCCAGCAGCCCCTCATGCTGCACATGGCAGGTGTATCTCTGCTCCTCTCCAGAAGGCACCACCACAGCTGCCCACTTCTGGAATGTTCCGTCCCCCCCAGGCCTGGTCTCCACCAGCTCTGTGTCCTGGGTCAGGTCCTCCCCATCTCGCTGCCAGGTCAGGGTGATGTCCGCAGGGTAGAAGTCCAGGGCCCAGCACCTCAGGGTGACCTCATGCTCAGAGGTGCAGTGGTGGGTCATGCCTGTCTTTGGGAGATCTGAGGGGGAACAAATCAGAAATATCACACTTTGGGTTTCCTCCACGCACCCTGAAGAAGCTTCACGTGACCATCCTCAGATTGGACATGACAATTGGCTTGGAAGGAGGAAGCACAAAACCCAGAACCCAGCCTCATCTGGAGAATCTGTGATAATCAGGTGAGAGCCGAGGGTAGGAGGATGGAGACCTCTAAGGAGGGTGAATGACACAGAAAGGCAGGAGTCAGATCCAAAATTGTTCTCAGACCAAAAACAAGACCTTGAAAGAAAAATTCATGGTTCCCAGGATGGCTGCTGGGTCAAAAGGATGCAGGGAAGAGTTATTTCAGGATGGCCTCCCTCCGTCAGGAGAGACTGGATTCCTTAACCGTCCAGAAAAGTGGTGTCTTCTGGGCGAGTCTCTGTCTAGCACAGAACATGACACCCAGGGGGACTCTCCCTCTCTGCCCAGAAAGCAGCTGCTGTTCTGCCCATTATTCCATTTCCCTGAGGGGCGCCAGGAGAGGGGAGGTCCGAGGCCTCGTGGCCCCTCTTACCTGTGCGCTGCAGCACCGCCTTCCCCAAAATCAGGAATTTGAGGAGCCACGGGAAGCACCTGCTCTGCACACTGTGCCTGACGCGCTCGGCCCTGCCCGCCGCCTCCCACGCGCGCTGGGTGATCTGAGCCCCCGAGTCCGCGGGGGTCCAGGAGCGCAGGTCCTCGCTCAGGGAGATGAAATCCGCGCCGTCGTAGGCGAACTGGTCATACCCGCCGAGGAGACTCAGGTCTGGGCCCACTTCACAGCCAAACATCCTCTGGAGGGTGTGAGACCCTGAGACCCGGCCCTGTGGTCAGCCGCGAGGTCACCCTCCCGCACCCCTACCTCCCCGCTGAATAAACCTAAAGTGTAAAAGAAATGCAGACAGGAACGTTCCGCGGGCTCTTCCCAGTGGAGGGTCCTGGCAGAACCACCAGCCTTGAGGGGTCAATGGACCCTGAGACTCGGGACACTCCGGCCTTAGGGTGGGAATGGGGGGGTGACCTGACCCTGGCACCGCTCTGCGAAGCTCACCGTCCTCGCTCTGGTTGTAGAGGCCGCGCAGGTCCCTCAGGAGCGCCTTGAACCACTGTGCGTTGTCCCTTTGGATCTGAGTCTCCTCGTCCAGGGCCTCCTGCCCCACCTGCCCCGCCCAGGGCGCCCGCGGCTCTGCACTCTGGCCCGGAGAGTCGCTGTCGAACCGCCCGAACTGCGTGTCGTCCACGTAGCCCACGGCGATGAAGCGGGGCTCCCCGAGGCCGGGCCGGGTCATCATGGTATAGAAAAGCCTCAGGGAGTGGGAGCCTGGGGGCGGGAGGGGAGACCCCGGCTGACCCTCCTCTGAGCTCAGGCCAGGGCCCAGGGAGATGGGCCTGGAGGGGAGAAAGCGGGCCGTGAAAGTGAAAAGGGGGTGGGCCTAGAAGGGCCCAGACTCAGGGGACCAGCGCACTCAGGGGAGGCGGGAGGGACAGAAGGGGCCAGAACACAACAGGCCTGAGGGGGAACAAAAGGTTGGGAGGAGATGAACCTTTGCTGTGGTCCTGCACCCGCAGTGGGCTCCTTGCTCCTCCCTCCTGGAGCAACAGTGTCCAGCTGGACACGCACTCATGCGTCCGGGTCTCCATCAGGGCCAGGGGCTCCCAGAGCAGCAGCAGGAGGGTGAGGGGCATCACACCCCTTCCAGGGGCCTGGGGAGACGGGGTCCAGGAGAGTCCTTGGAGACTTTGTAACTGGAGCAGGATGATGCTGATTGTCTTGCCTGGAAACCCCCCCAGGAAATGGGGAGAGAAAATGGGGGTGAGTGTGGGGTCATCAAGGCTGCACCACCCCACAGAGCCTGTGAGAGGGAGACATGATGCTGTGACAGGGTGACATCCACAAACAGGGGCGGCTCCTAATTCCCTTCCCCACCTTAGGGAGGAGTGGATTTGGGCTGGGAGAATCAGCTGCCTGGAGGAATGAACAAAGTAGCAGTATTTTCAGATAATTGTGAATATTCCACTTTGATACTGAATTATAGCTATACAGGTGGTAGTTTCTCAAAAGTTATTTGCAAAATGAAACCTGAAATAATATCATGGAATATTTCCTATTCTGTTACATTTCCATAGGCCTCTCTTGCATATTGGGTGGAACTTGTGCTAATATGTGATTTTTAAGGTGATACATTGTTTCACTAAGTTCCATAGATCTTTAGTGTTAATTACAGTGGAATCAAATTATCAAAAAAAATTTATTTCTTAATCACAAATCCCAAAAGAAAAATTAGTATTGTAAGTTGTCAAGTAGTGATGGCACTCATTTTTCCAAATCCTGTTTTTCTCTGAGAGCTTATATTTTCTCAAGCAAAATTACTGTCATTTGTCAATTGTCTGTTGATTTTCTTAAAGAAACATACATTCATCTTGAAGAAAGTGTTTGCTAATTAACCAAATCTAAATAACCTTAGTTTTTGATATTCATCCCTTCAGGTAAGGCTGGTGTTGCCCACAAATAAAGAGTCTAATTTATTGCATACTGTAACTAGCAATAAAATATAATTGCTAGCCCTGTGCACAGGTGTTTGAGGGAGGCTCAATTCTGTGGGATTCAATGACCACACCGTATTAAAGGGAAAAGGATTTATGGTGAGCAACATAGGCGATGTGCGAGCAAAATTATAAACAGTGCCCCAAACCCAACCAAACTGATGAACATGCATACGTACTGTACAGTTTCCTCAGAAATTAGCATCACGGAGGCAAAGAGTCAGCACTCCAGAAAACAGCATCATGGAGGCAAAGAGTCAGCACTCCGGAGAACAGCATCACAGAGGCAAAAAAAATGTCAGCACTCTGGAGAACAGCATCATGGAGGCAAAAAGGTGAGCACTCTGGAGAACAGCATGGGAGACATATCCACGTCCAGCAGCTGCAAGCAGCAGCAGCAGCTAGGCAACCACTGTGTTTTTATCTCCCAAGGTCGGATATGGCCAGTATCCAAGCCCAGTGATTCATGGTGGGCTGGCCACATTCCTGTGCACGATGCCCCGGACTTACATAACCAACCTATTTCTTGGTGGTCCCGGACAACGCGAACAGTTACATAACCAGCCCTATCTTTTGGCTCCTGGTCCCGGCGCTGGCCAGGCTCCCGGACCAGGGGGCCAAAAGGTGGTCGCACATCTTCCAATGTCCCCGGCAAAACGACATGAACACTTTATTTTCCTACACATACAAATATTTTCCCCAGGACTCAGTGCTTGGGAATGCTGCAGAAGTGTTCTGTGTACTTCCAGGTCAGCACACCAGATTTTAAAATGTGCTAAAAAGAAAATTCTCTGAAGAGGAAATGCAAATGGCCAACAGGCATATGAAAAAATGTTCAACATCACTTGTAATCAGGGAAATGCAAATCAAAACTACCATGAGATACCATCTTACATCACATATTAAGAATGGCACATATTAAAAAAAACTAGCAACAACAAATGTTGGCGAGGATGTGGAGAAAAAGGAACTCTCCTGCACTGTTGGTGGGAGTGCAAACTGGTCCAACCACTATGGAGAGCTGTGTGGAGATTTCTTGACCTACTAAACATAGAGCTTCCATATGATCCAGCAATTCCACTCCTAGGTATTTACCCAAAGGACACAGAAACATCAATTCCAAAGAGCACCTGCACCCCTATGTTTATAGCAGCACTATTTACAATAGCTAAGCTTTGGAAACAACCCAAATGCCCAAAAATAGATGACTGGATCAAGAAGATGTGGTACATATACACCATGGAATATTACTCAGCATTCAAAAAAGATAAACACATGCAATTTGCAGCAACATGGATGGCGCTGGAAGGGATCATGCTCAGCGAAGTAAACCAGAAAGAAAAAGAAAAATACCGGATAGTCTCACTCATAGCAGGAATCTAGAAAACTTAAATAAGGGACCAGGAAAATGAATAACTACAAGAAAGTGAAAATCAAAATGATCAAACAACTATGAACCAGAGACACTCTATGGGGGGCAGGGGGCGGGGAGGGGAGGGATTGGGGTCAAAATAAGGGGGTTGCAATTGTATGGGGGACATAAAAATAAAATTTATTATAAAAAATAAAATAAAATGTGGATTTGAGAATAAAGCAATAATGAAGATAACTTTTAATGCTTTTTCCAGGAAATTTTCAAATGAACCTGGAAAAATGCACAGATCTTAAGTATACTGCTAGAGGAGTCTTACCCTTGTCAAGAACATTATGATATATTATTCTTCTCTTCGAAACAATGAACATTTCAATAATTTAATGATTGTCTCATTTAACAATATAATTTATCAGTCCTCCCTCCTTTGAGTAACTACCACAGTCCAATCTGAAGCTTCCCTGGCCCCTCCATTCTCAGCACGTTCTTGTAACCACACTCTCCTTGGAACAGAGTCCATGCCTGAGTCATCTTTAGCTATTTATTCTTATTATATTTTGTCTGATAACTTTGATTTTTCAACAACATATATTTTACAGGAGTTATAGATGAAAAACTCTAAAATATATGTTATCACCCCATTTAAGTATGATGTATCAATATATGGTATGTTATTCATTGGTGGTCTCTCAACAAATAAGTTCATCTAACTCTCCCTTTTCCTTTCATTCACAAGACTATTAGTCAATCACAAGCAGCTTAGCTGTTTTCATACCTTCACAGCCATATATTACCATATGTCTATGGTAAATATTTTTATTATCAGTTTTATTAGACAAACTGATATTTACAGGCAATGTCTGAGTATAATTTCATTAAAGCAAGAGATGATTATTTCTTAAAAAAACAAATGTCTGAAGTTATATGAAAGACAAGGAAATAGGGCCTCCCTGGTGGCCCAGGGGTTAAAGTGTCAGCATTATCAAGCTAATACCAGCCACTGTGGAATGAATTGGGTCCCCAGCCAGGGAGCTGACCCACATAGCACAGCAGCAGACCTCTCCTCTCTTGCCCACTGGTTCTCAGGAGTGTATTTCAGTAGATCCCCCACTCTGTCTCTGGTGAATATTCTCACCCCCACACCTCTGACCTACACCCCAGTTCTTGCATGCATAAATAAATAAATATAAAGCTTTAAAAAAAAGAAAGACAAGGAAATAATAATTTCACCTTATAATTAACCTGTATCCAGTCACCCAAATCATATCAATTCTTAATGAATACCACTTTAACATTATAACAAGTTATTAACAAAAAAACACAGAAGCCAGAAACCTTACAGTCTTAAACTTCAAATCAACGATCAACTTTTCTAAGATTTTTGAAGACATAAAAATAAAAATCATTTCATATAACAGCAGGCAAATTACATACCTTTGTAAAGTGGTGGGACAGTCAAACTATTTCCTAGGTTTAGCTGAAATGACCATCAAAAGTGTTCAGATGGAATTCACCTTGCCTCCTTGAGCCTAAGCAGAGGACAATATTATAATCCATGAATGATGCTCACTGACCTTGTGGTGTAGAGTGGGTGGGCTCTTTGGGCTGAAATTGAAAAAAAATCCCCTGCGAATGAGTGATCCTGCGAGTGGTATTTCCCACATTTTACCAAGTGTTTTTCATTTTTATATAAGGCCTATAGTTTCATCTTACTGCAACTTCTAGAAAAACAAGTGAGTTTACTTTGTTTCAGATTCTTCCTCTCAGGGCTTGAGGAGATGCTTCCCTGCGTTCCTGAGACTCCCCATCCAGGACCCCACAGCTCTTCGTACTGGACAGGGTGGTCTCTGTCCATGTCCCTGACTCGTGGTCATGGTTTTGCATCAATAATCTGTGACTCTTAAATCTGTCCCACGCCCTGAGTCCCACCCACCTTTCCCCACACCCCACTTGGAACATAACCCTGGAAAATCCCTGGTCTCAGCTGACCTCAGAGTCTGTCCTTACAGATTATCTGTCCCCCCTGGACTGGCCCCTGGGTCCCCTCCTTGGTTTCCCTACTCCTCCATTCAGTCACCACAGATATTGTCCTGGAAGCTGGGAAAGGCTCCTCCTCCGTTTCCTGCTGTCTCACCAGCCCCTGAGACCAGCCCCTGAGACCCGCCCTCCAGGCAGGTGCCCGACTGCGTGTTCACACTCCTGGAAAGGAGTAGGGGCAGGACGAGAGGCTGCTGGGTGTGGGTAAGAGTGACTAATCCACAGCATCTCTCCCCTCCAACTGGTGGGTGCAGGTCACCTTCCCCCCACAACTCTGAGACAAAAGGGGTGCCTTTTGGCTTTAGGTCAGAGATGACAAAAAAGGGGGTGTTTTTCCTGTCATTCTCTTCCAGGTGGGTAATGAGGCCTCCACTGCCTGCTCATCCCTGGACTGTGTCCTCAGACCTTCTTCTGAACTCCCGTCTGACCAGCTCATAATCTAGAGAACAAAGAAATTCTGGCTGAAGTTGGGGGTATAAATTTCAATTCTTACACCACAACTGAGGCAGGAGGGAAAATGCTGTAGACTCATGGCAGCTTTTTTCTTAGTAAGACCAAATATAAAACATGGAATCTGGGAAACTAATGTAAATCTTTTGTCTCAGCTTAAAGTCAAAAAACAATTAATTTCTGGCAACATGGCGGCGAGGAGACGCTGCGAGTAAGATCTCCCATTAAAAAAGTTAATAGGGAGGAAAAGCGGCAGGTCCCAGTGAGAAGTGGGACACGGAAGATAAACGGGTGACGCCAGCGAACTGCCCGAAGAAGAAAGTGGCCATAAAAGAGGACTAGAAGGGAGGGAAGCGCAGAACCCTGCTCCCCTCCCCCGCCCACAGAGGCGGCACTCTCCGACGGCAGAGAGGAGGAAACAACAAACCAAAACGGCCAACAAGAACAAACGACGTAGCAAGCGGGACCGTGAGTGGAAAGGAACTATTGCAGCCACCACACCCCGTGAACGGGAGCTGAGGCGAACCCTGCAGGATCCGCCGTGGCGGTGAGCGAACGGCTCCGGGCGCCATTAGAGAAGAACAAAGACCCCGGGAGACCCGCACACAGCCTGGGCTGCCGGTAAGCTGGCGCGGAAACCCGGCGCGCTCGGGGAGCTTGAAAAGCAAGTGCAGACCTGGATCGCGGCTGCCCAGGTCCCCACGCCTGCGACCTAGGCTTGCGGGGAGACGACCTAGGCTTGCGGGGAGACGCACGGAGGTCCTCACTGAGGTGAAGGTCCCTCCCTGAGTGAGCAGGAACCAGGCACCCGGGCACGGGAGCAGGGTGCAAAAGGCGCCATTCCCGCGCCACTGAACTGGGCTACAGCCCGCGTCCTGGAACTGAGGGCTTTGAACTGAGACCCGGGGCACGAAAATTCGGGGCGTGGGTTCTCCACGACGGTGGGGCACAAGGCAGACACAGCACCCCAAAGCTGTTGAGGTGTACCCTACCATTCCCGCTCTGTTCTCTGTCCCACGGGGTGGGGGGAGGCGAAAAACAGCCCCCCAAGGACAATAGGAGAGATCTCTGGCGCCACCTAGCGACCAGGAAAAAAAAAGTCACTAACACCCTAAAAACAGGACATTTCTTAAGACTGCTTGAAAAGGGCAGAAGGTTTCTGGAGGACCCAGTGGCCAGCCGGGAAGTTATTCCACGCCAGGCCCCTTCCGACCAGCAGTCTGAGCCCACAGAGGGAGCAGGCACCCACGTCCGGGGCAGACCGGGTGCGCAGAAGAGTGTGCCTGAAACCGGAGGCGCAGGGACTGCATCCCGCTTCGCCATTTGAGAACAGGGACATTTCTTCAGTAAAAACTGCGTAAAACCAGCAGAAAGCTCCCCCAGAAGACAGAGATGGCTCCTGGAAGAGCCAGAGGGAGCGGAGAAGTTCACCCAAGATGTCAGTCAGTCCGAGCAACACAGTGTCCCAACGCATACGACAAATTAGAAAACAGACAGTAGGGAGTAGAAGAAC